CAGGAGCTCTCAGTCCATGTTGATTTCAAGGGTTGAAAGTTTGATAACGTCAAAGATGTTGAGAGTCTTCCACTCATTACAAAGTGTGGCTCCATTTAGGTGACCTAAACAGCCCAGGTCACAAGGGTCAAGGGCCAGGCTCCTTAAGGTTTAGTCGATTCTCACTTCGACCAATCATACCCTTGGAATAAGGGTTTTAAGCAGTGGGCCTTTAGCATCTCGGTGATGATTTCTGGGACGTTGTCCTTAAAGAGTGGTCCCATAATTTGGTGAGTGATGTTTGAATCACCCTTAAATCAAAGGGTTTTGATGGCACTCTGATCGATGAAGTCTTGGCATTTGTTGCATTCCTCGATGAGCTTAGTGATGAAAGTATTGGAGGCCATTGATGAAGGTTTAGAGTTTTTCTGGGTTTCGAGGTTTGGGTTCTTTTTCTGGGTTGGGAGTAAATGGCAAGAATTTCTGAAGGCTGAAAGCATGAAAGTTCGAATGAAGCTGGGTAGAGTTTTTATAGGAAATTGGGAGAAAAGATCAACGGTTAAGGTTTAAGAGATGAAAGGTAAATCCGACCGAAGAATTTCGTAATCATAACGAATCTCTTGAAAATCCAGGTGAAAAGGTTGAAAAGTAGGCGAATTGAGGTTGCACGATTATGTGTAACATCGAAGTTTATGACGAATAGACGTTTGGTGTCTGCACGCCTCGAACGTGGGGGTACGCATTATTGAAGATGGACAATCGTGATGAAGAGCTGCCACGTGTCAAGAAAACTGAGAGAGGTGAGAGGTTGTGATTAATAAATGCGTTTGGGTGGTTAGAGTATTCGATGCTTGCAATGTTCTCTGGTTTTTCTAGAAGGCATATGCTAAGGGTTTATTCTTTGGCAATGAATCACTTCTTCAATGTCAAGGCTCGACCAGGAATTGTAGACCGAATACCTCAAAAGCGAGGGGGCAATGTTCGGGCCCAAAATAATATTTTGGGCCGAGCTTAGAGTTGTTCTTGGCCCAGTAACATTCATCTAGAATCTTGTCATGGGTTGTCCAGTCAAGGTCAGCCAAATCCTATTTCTAGGAGGATTGGTTTATATATAAGGGTAAGGTAGTCGAACCCTAGTGCAACAAGGAATCTTAAAGCTGAAGATGCTTAAAATTAGGGGATGAATCTGGTTCGTTAAGGAGCTTGGTTCAAAGTCTTATAGGGGTTAGGATTGGCTGAAACTTGATCAGATTGGGTTGAGGAGTTCTAATCCGAATACATTTTTAGTTCAGCCATGAGGGGGTTTAATGGTATAAATAAAGAATGAAGTGCATCATTCAAGGCCTCTTCAAATCAACACAACAAATTGCCCTGCACAAAGCTTCTCAATAGCTCTAAGATTTTTTTTCCTCTCGCCCCTTTTCTTCCTGCCTACACATCTTCAGTTTGGATAAACAACACTATGAAAGTAACCGGCGACATCTTCAATTTGGATAAATAGCACTGGAGCCGTAAAATCAGCCAACCGATGAGCACCTTCAGTTTGGATAAACAGCACTACTTTGAGACCGACTAGTTATTATCCAAATCTCGGTCGACAAGGATTTTCGAGTCCTTGTTGGTAGAGGTCATCTCATTAGCCTTTTCGGCAAAGTGAGGTGTTACTAGGTTACTAGGCTCGGCACATTGAAAGTCGAGTTTTATTTTATGATTGGATATTCACAAGTACATTTTAGAGTTCTGCATTCCGACGGCCGAACCACTTTTACAATCAAGATATTTATCTCTTTCGAGTATTTGTGTCCGTACAGTTTGGTACCAGTTCGATGTACTTATACTTTCACAAATATAATTACTGAGACTGAACCCGGGGCTGACAATTTGTGAACTTCGAAGAGATTAGTAGCCTTGTCTTCAAGCTCTAGAACCTAAAGGTCGAGACGTGTTCCTTTCTCAACTGCAATCGTAAGATCAAGAAGTTAGCAATGCGCCAGATGCCACATCAATATATTTTACTCCTCGGTCGACGAGTTGGCACACCGCGTACACAACCGAATGACGTAATTAGCTTATTAGTTACTCGGCCTACGTGCCACGTAGGCTTGGTAGTTTTTAGGGTCAACAGTAATATATGAAGATCTTAGGAATTTACGGATCGAAAATTTGATGTATGGATTTTTCGAATTTGATTACTAGGGTTGTTGATTGTAAGGTTGACCAACCGTTTCGATGTGTAGGTGAAGCTGGCAACCTTAACAGATGTGAGCAAGAAGAGGATGTAGACATCGACGTTCTATGGAAGAAAAGAATTAAGAGGATCCAATTCGTTAATGCAAGACTTAGGTATTTGATTGTCGACATATTTCGATTTGGAAACTTGGGCTAATTTTCTCAGCAACCTTTTTTATTTTTTGGGAAAAATTGGTGGCTGACGGGATTAGGGGTGGGTGGTACCGTTGGGGAGATATTCTAGTTGGGGTTTTTTATTTTTCTTTTTAACTTTTATGCTTCAATTTTTATCAAGTTTGAGAAAGAAAGGCAAGGGACTAAGGGTGGGCACAGTGTAGTTTGGCCCAATTCCACCCTCAAATCGAATCCATAACCGAAAAATATCAACGGTATGGTTTCACTTCAATTTATTACTAAAACCGTACGGTTCCAGTTCGGTTCATGCCGGTTTATGGTTCTAAATACGAAATCCTTTGAATATTGCAAACATATAATTAGAGCTCATAAAAGCAGTCAAAGGACTTTTATAGTAAAAGATAGTAATTGGATCAAATAGAACATGCATGACTAATCATAAAGAACAATGGACAACATTAGAAGAAGATTTAAAAGTTAAATGGCACCAAAATTTTACAAGGTTAATGAATATTATTCATATCGACAATTCACAAAAACATCCACATAACTAACAAATTTAGCTTACTAACCCTTTCTGGTTACTAATTCAACAATCTAGAAACGAAAGACTAAGCACTTTTACTAAGAAGCATGATCAAACAGTTGAAATTCACAAAATTTTCAAAACCCAATTAATAATATATGTTCACGGTTCGGTTTGGTTCGGTTCCAAGCGGTTCTGCCTACATGAAAACTAGAATTGGTATGAACAGTTCGGTCCGATTCTTCAACCTAGGATGACTTTTTCTGGTCAACACAAAAGTCAACACGATTTTTTACTATTTATTTTATCGCAGTTCAATTCGGTTTCGCTATTTCACGATTTTTATGCCCACCCCTACAAGGGACACTTGTCAGCCGCTGAAGGTGGGTAGAATAATTTAGGGCAGGGCAGATTAAAGCTCGATCTGACTAGCATTATCTTATCTCATGCATGCTAGATTTTGTTGGTGAGTCTAAAATCTCAAGACTTTCTGAACCCACTCTCCTTGACTAGAAGAGGACTGGATCAATTCTTGGATGATAAATGAAGTTGCTGAAGCCTTAACTCCCAACCGCAACCGCAACCGCAAAAAGAGAGAGGTCGGTCTCTCTCTTGGAATTGGGTTTTTGGTTTTTCTTCGAACTTAAAGAAATTTTTCTGCTATATGTGTATTCAATTGGGAATTGAAAAGATTTTAATGGATTTATAAATCCATGGATTATAATTGATTTGTAGAGATTCCATGTAAAATTTTGATTCAATACCCTCAAAATCTCATAAGAAAATGTGAGATTTGTGGATGCTTAAAATACACTACGAAATCTTTCCAATTCCCTCTAATTCCTCAACTTTCTCAAATTCTTTAAAATCAATTTATAATTGAATACACCTGGAATGTTATAAACTTTTTTAAAATCCTAATTGAATACATTCGGATTTCTAAGGATTTTAATAAACTATCTTAAAATTCTAATTGAATACACATTGAATTTCAAAGAATCACTTAAAATCTTGATTGAATACCCCTAGATTCATTAAAAAAAAATTAAAATCTCTCAAAATTCCAATTGAATACACCCCTAAACTATTTTCATGGAAAATAGTTGCCTACATTTTCGTTTTCTGTACTGTAAATGAGTGAATGATCCATTTCAGCTGTACTTGTACGGTTACGTAAGTGAAAAAGCTTCAATCATTCAATGGGCTGTCTATGTGTCTTTGTATGATCAGGTATGTTGGTTGGTTGGTTGGTTGTGTTTTTTGTAATTTCAAATTTGGCCATTATCTAAGCTGATGCTTTGACTAGTTTGTTTAATTACTTACTATTGACTTACCCTAAAGCCTAAGCATCTCTCTTGGAACAAAACACATGGAGATTATGGCGACAACATTCTGTAATCTTGGCACGGGCTCAGGTCTCACTAAACTGAATGGCTACCACATCTCCAACAGGCAAGTTCCCAGCCTTATTTTTCATTGATAAGTATTGACATGAATCCTTTTCGTCGTTGTTTAGATTAGATTAGAATATTGCTCGAATCAAATCAAATCACGAATCAAACAATGGGAAAAAAAATGGATGAAACTTCCAAGGATTCTCTTTATAATTGTATTGACATTACTCATTTCCCAAGCATTATCGTGGCTTTGCAACATTGTCATGTCTCTCCTGTAATGCTCGAAAAGTTTTTCTTAGAAGAGAATTAGAAATCAGGCGGCAGTGGCAACATTGTGGACAGGCTTTTGTCAGCAATAAGTCTAGCTATTGTTCTAACAACACCATCCACCAAGAAGAGGATAAGGAAGCGGATATTTCTTAAGCAACCTTGATATGGAGAGCGATAAAGTTACCAATATACTCTGTTGCTTTGATTCCTCTCACGGTGAGCTCTTCTGATGCATACAGCTCTCTGGTTCTACCAAACATCATATTAAGGTTTCCTGTTTTAAATATATATAGAGATATATATATATATATATATATACATATATTGTTTTCATTTTAATGCAGTCATTTCTATTACGCTATTGGCTGTTTTTTTTTTCACAAAGCTTGAAATGATATACACCTCTCCGCCTCTTACTGACTCACTTCACCATGCCTTGCTTTCTTAAACAGGTAGGTAGTGCAGCTGCTTATTTGCAGACAGGCATGTTTTCAGCTTGGCGTTATTCTATTCGTTTGGTTTCCTCAGTTCTTATCATCACATGGCTCAACTTTAGGTATACATACATAGTAATTATTTCCAGAGTGCGAGCGTTCAGCTATATCTTGAGTCTCATTAAGCTTGAGCATAGATCTGAATTTGGCAGATTATATCCAATGAGTGGGTTGTTTTTTCATGACGCACAAATTTTATGTACTACATCTACCACACAAACATGCTATGTTTGGAGGATGCATACTTACAAAGTTACATACACGGTTAGGTTAATGTAGTAGCTATGTCATATCCATTTCACAAGGTGCAAAACATATGAGCTTTCTTGAGACATTGAAGATATGATATATTCTTAACATGATGACTTGTCTCATTACATATGGTTTAGATCGATGGGTAATTTCCAAGGAACTTGGAACTGGCTCTCTGTATGAATTTGTTGTTGTTGATATTGTGTTCCTCACAATTCCATTTCTCTTTATGGTATGGAGGAGAATCTCTTTCCGCCTTCAGACTGGGGGCTCCTTTTCTTTTTCCAGCTCCCTTTTTGCAAGAAAAGTATGTCAACCTACACATGAACACTAAGTAGACTCTTAGCACTTGAATGTCTCGTTAAGATTTTATTACACTCTAAGATTTCCACTATTGGCAGACTGCATGCTCATCATGTTGATATTCGAAATGTGTTAACTCCTTTCTTCACTTCTGGACGGTCAAAAAATCTCATCTTCGTTTTTCAATATGCAGCAATGATGTATACGATTTTGATACAGGAGCAGACGTAAATAAGAAAGAATCAGTTGTAAATCTGTTGGGCAGGTAAGTTTTGTTCTTCTTTCTTCTCTGTTGATGAATACAATTTGTCTGTGTTTTCCTGCAATCATGTGTCGTGGTCATGATTAATTTCCGATTCTGTTTTGTAATGTGCTTGGCAAGCCGTACAGGCACTCTTGTTTCTGCATACTTGCTACTTGCTCTTGGCTTTTTGGGGCTTGCTTGGGTACCTGTTAAGGCAGGAAATATGCGCGCAATACTATTACTCGGTTGTGCAGTCATTTCTGGTTATATATATCAGGTGAGTAGAATGCTGCATGTGAGACCAAGTAAATGAATCTGAACAACAAATATGTATATATCTTTGATTATCTTCTTTAGGAAATGAAAATTCAAGCCAATCCTTAGAAAATTACAATTTTATAGGTGGGGGTAAGCATTAGTTGAGTTTTCAAAGCATGTTTTCGGTGTGAATTTCCTAAGCATGTTTGATAATGTTTGTGTGATTAAATACAAAAAGTTATTCAAAATACAACATGACCGATCTTCACTCTTTGCTCATGTCGAACACTAATACATGTAACAACCAAGTCCTATTTGTATTCGTTCCTTGCTCAGTGGTCAGTGATAGCATACATTTCTTTCTATGCATGGGACAACATGCGTTCATATCTGTTCTGATGTTGGGTTGCAGTGCCCACCATTTCGGTTAAGTTACAAGGGATTGGGAGAGCTGTTGTGTTATGCAGTATTTGGGCCATTCGCTACTACCGCGTTTTATTTGTTGCAAGGCAGCACAAGGTTAACTAACTTTGATAATGTCATGGATCTGGATTTAAGTTTTTCTAGTCTTTAATACCCTGATTAATATTGGTTGTCTTGACAGGGAAGTTATCCATCTACCTTTCACTGCTCCGATTCTCTCTGCATCACTCCTTATTGGCGTTGCAACAGCCTTGATCCTCTTCTGTAGTCACTTTCATCAGGTAGTTTTCATTTTGCTATATTGAGAAAGTTTTGAGCTCTCCTGGTTTATGCATGTCAATGTGTCAACTGACATGAATGTCGTGCAATGCAACTCAGATCGAAGGAGACCGGGCTGTAGGAAAAATGTCCCTTCTGGTAGGTACACTTAACTGAAACCTTACAAAATAAACATACCGTTGATCTTTTTAATTTGTATGTCTATTCGTATACAGGTTAGGCTTGGCACCAAAAGAGGATCAGGGGTAGTGAAATTGACAGTAATAGGACTATATGTTCTTACTTTCAGTTTTGGTCTGAGCAGCGCTCTTCCTCTTTCTTGTATCGTAAGTTACATCTGTTTTGTGAAGTCACTACTAGAAATCTTGGCATAGAGCACTATTTTGAAAGTGTGCCTATTGCATCTTAGGCACCTTTTAAAGGTGCCCATTGAACATTGGGCACCAAGTGGGCACACTACCATCAAGGGTGCCCTAGAACTAAGTTCCTAGTATATATGTGCCTAGTAGATTCTTACATTTATCTGGCTTGACCTTACCAATTGCAAGATTGGTGGTTAGTTTTGTTGAAGAAAACCACAATGTGAGTACTAAACTTGCGTACAATGCAGGATGCCCAGATTTGAAATTTCTCCGGGTTCTGTTGTAACCGTTTTGTATGATTCTACTGCAAAATGGCGCATGGTGTCATTCCTGTCGCTTAAAAAATACGCAGGGTGTAGTGACAGGGATGACAACATCTGCTCATTTTGCTCTAGGTTGTTGTGGATTTGCAAGCTTATAAGAAATTTCTTTTTGTTACAGGACAAGCATAAGATATTCATAGCAAAGTAATACTGTGTGAGATTGCATTCTTTATTTGGAACTGCATTAGCTGCAGGACTCCTTGTATCGAGAATGTTCCCTAAACTTGGCCTTCCTTCAATTTTTGGTTTCTCATAAAGTTTTGCAACCTCAGTCTGTATATGCAGTGGCAGAGTAACATGTTGTTCTTTGGGAAAACAAGCATGTATGCATTGTCTTTTGCAAGTTACGACTGCCATTAACTAGTCGAGTCCAATACGAGGCAAAATATCTCCAATGTAATGGAGATTTTTCTTTCAATATAATGCCCTCAAGACTTGAAATTCGTATTGAGTTTTCGACCAAAAATTTTGTATTCTTGTAAGTGCACAAGAGTTGATGGTTTAGTGGTACACAAGTAAGGATATCAAATCCACAAGGATATTGGAACTAAGCTAATCGCAAGCTTAACATAAACCCTAACTAGACGACAAACAATGGTAATAACAACCAAGCTTTATCCACTAAGCGGGGCGGCTGTATTAATCCTAGAATGTCATTTTCGATTTTGTGCCAAGTTTTCCGTTAGCTGAAGGTACTCTATATCTTTTCTTATAATCTCTTTTTAAATCTTCCTAGGTCTTCCTCTACCCATTTGACCATCCGCCTTCGTATCATAGTCTCATCTTCTAATCGGAGCATCTATAGGTCTTCAGTTCATGTGTCCAAACCGTCTTAACTGTTTTTTTCATCTTATCTTTAATTGTGGTCCCTTCTACTTTACCTCGATATCCTTATTGCTTGGATATATGCTACTTGTACTCCTTTCTTTCTCTAGAATCCTCTGAAGAATTTCTCTTGGGACCTTATCATAAGCTTTTTGCAAATCTGTAAAGACTATGCGCAAATCCTTTTTCATATCTCTAATCGTTGCATCAATCTTCGTAAGAGATAGTAACAGATAGATTGCCTCCATCGTTGATCACCATGGCATGAACCCGAATTGATTCTCTAACACTCGTGTTTCTTGCCTCAATCTATGCGCAATTACCCTCTCCCAAAGCTTCATTGTATGGCTCATTAACTTAATAAGCAATAGTTCATGCAATTTTGTATGTGGTCCTTATTCTTGTAAATAGACACTAAAGTGCTTTCTCTCCACTCATTAGGCATCTTTATTTTCAAAATCTTATTGAAAAGATACGTGAGCAATGTTATACGCGTCTCTCCCAAGACTTTCCACACTTCAATCGGTATATCATTGGGACCCAATGCTTTTCTTTGTTTCATCTTATTCAAAGTTACAACCACTTCCTCTTCCCTAATTTGACAATAAAATGAGTAATTTCTACACTCTTCCGAGTTATTCAACTCACCTAAAGAAGTACTCATGTCTTATTCTTCATTGAAGAGATTATGAAAATAAGTTATCCATCTATCTTTAACTAGAACATTTCCATTTTCATCCTTGATACATCTTACTTGGTTCAAGCCTCTTGTCTTCCTTTCCCTTGTTCTAGCCAGTTTATAGATATCCATGTCTCATTTTTGGTATCTAATCGCTTATACATGTCGTCCAAAGCCACTAGCTTTGCTTTTCTCACAGCGTTCTTTGCTTCCTTATTTGATATCTTATACATCTCATAGTTTTCATCAGTTTTGTCCTTGTATAAGGCTTTACAAAATTCCTTCTTAGCCCAAGCTTTTTTTTGTACCTCCACCTTCCACTACTAAGATTCCTTTTGATGTGGAGCAAAACTCTTAATCTCTCCTAATACCCCTTTTCCAAATTCATTTTGATGTGGAGCAAAAGCCTCAGAGCAGTTCCATCCCTAAAGACTTTACGCCAGCACCCAGTGCATTTATCCACTCAAGTGAACAGTAATAGGCCAAAGCATCTCCACCCCTAAAAAAATGCCCTGGCACCCAGTCTAAAAATGCGATCGCACAAACGATCTCGACCCCTACAAAATGCGCTAGCACCCAACCCATTTAAAATATTTTATATTTTTTTTAAAAGAATAAATTAAAAAAATAGTTTTATTTTCGGATAAGATTTTTAACCAATTTTGGATAAAATTTCAAATAAACTTTAAAAAAAACAAACTAAAATAAAATTACATACTCATCAAATAAACTTAAAAAACAAACAGACTAAAATAAAATTACATAAACTCATCAAAATACACTTTATTCTTCAACCACAAGCTTATTTTAATTATCTTCACCTTCTTGCAATCTCCACTGGTGCTCAATCAAGTCATTCTGCCGGGTTACGTGCCAGTATGGCTCTTGCACATCAGTGTACCGCTGAATAATCAATTCATTGTAACGTCAATCCTGTTCCAACGGCTCGTGTTGCACGAGATCTTTGGTCCGGTCATGAGCACAGTAGATACGTGTTCTTGAGTTGTTCATCGGATCCGGCTCATATTCATCGATGGCATCATAATCATACTCATCTTCCACAATCATGTTGTGGAGAATAATACACGTCATCATGATGGATCAAAGAGCCTCGACATTAAACATTATAGCAGCAGACCTGACAATCGCCCAACGAGCTTGCAGGATACCAAAACAACGCTCCACATCCTTCCTACACCCTTCTTTACATTTTGCGACGTGTTTTTCTTTTTCAGTCTGTGGATGTGGCATTGTTGACAAACGTAGATCGCCTTGGGTAAATCCGTCTGCAAGGTAGTATGCTCCGTCGTATTTAGTGCCATTAACCCAATATGTGCATCTGGACGATTTTCATTGCAGCAGATCGTCGAACACTGGAGATTGAGCAAGGACATTTAGGTCATTCTGAGCTCCTGGAACACCAAAAAAAGCATGCCAAATCCATGTATCAAATGAAGCCACCGCTTCCAAAATGATACTTTTGACTCATTTTTTGTCGCCATAAGCTCCTTACCACGCACTTGAATAGTTTTTCCAAGTCCAGTGCATGCAGTAAATGCTTCCAATCATGCTAGGGAAGCATCGCATCTCACCCTTCCTCAGAAGCCTTTGCATGTCCCTTGGCGTGGGTGTTCGGAGGTACTCATTGGTGTACAGGGCTTCAATTGCAGAGCCAAATCGCATCAGGGACTCCAGAACAGTTGTTTTTCCCATCCTCGCGATCTCATCCACTTGATCTACAGTCCATATGCAAGCATTCGCAAGGCAGCCGTAATTTTTTGCTCTGGAAGAAGACCTAGAACACAAAAAGCATCCTCTTTTTGCACAAAATATGGATCATGGTTGCAAATAGCACTCATGATCTTGTTGAACAAACTTCGTTGCATTCTAAAACGACGTTTAAAAACATGATCAGGGAATACACTGTTGGGAATAAAATAATCTTCCAAGAGATCTTTACCTCGTCTTTCCCTTTTTCTATCGAAGTTTGCGGTACGTCTGGGTTTGGCTATCTGAGCCACAGCTTCCATGACACGGCGGGAATGTGAGGCCATCTGCCTTCTATGGTCATCATCCGAGTCCTCCTCCATTGCGAAAGCCTCATCTCCACCTCCACCTTCCTCAAGACTGATCAATTCTTCTTGTTGTGCCAACAATCTTTTCTGTTGCTCCACAAATTGTTTATGCACTCTTCTTGAAGAAGACATTGTAAAAAAAACTCAAGATTTGAAAACGATGAAGATGGATGTAGGGATGTATGATTTATATGAACAAAAAAAATTAAGGATGAGCTTTTTGGTATTTTTTTCACACAAAAAGTATATGAAAGCTTTGGTAGAAAGTGCAGAAAATATTGAAATGTGGTGTAAGGTGGAAGATAAGGGTTAGGTAATTATAGAAAAAAAAATAACTTTTTTAAAAATTTTCTGTATTTTTTAATTTTTTTTTTGTATTTTTTCATAATTTTTAATAAATTTTAATATAGTTAATTAATCTGGACCGTTGGGCCTTTTTTTTATTTATTTTATTTTTATTTTTGGTGAAAAAAAGTTGACCATTGATCTATGATCGAATGGTCCATTTTAAAAGTCAAATTTAAATTTTTTTTACCGTTGAAAATCCAATGGTCTACAAAAACTAGCCGTTGGAAATCCAACAGCACTGAGGAGGGCCACGTAGCTCTAATCCGGGTGAACACAAGTGGGCTGACAAGCGGGCCCCGCCGCCTGCACCCTTGTCTCCTATTCAGGCCCAGTCGCGAGTGTGCTGCATGTGCCAGCCAAATAGACCGGCCTCTGAGTCTATCCGAAATGGGCTGGTCTGTTGCCTAGCTTGGGCTGGGTGCCAGGTTGTTTTGCGGGCTGGAGCAAATTGATAGGATGCTGGGCAATTTTGTGTCTGGTGGAACTGCTCTCAAGCTCTCCTAATACCCATTTTCCAACTACTTCTCAGATACAACTAGCCACGAGAATCTCACATTTGATTAGTGTTCCCCTCTACATCCCAAACGCATTGAGCAAGTACCTTGTCTTTTAAAGGGTGTTGTTCTTTCTTTTATCTCTTTCAAAATGTACATCCATCACCAACAACAATGTTGATTAGCCATACTCTCCCCCATTATAACTTTGCAATCCTTACAAATTATCCAATCTCCTCATTAGAAAGAAATCTATTTGTGTTTTTTACTAAGGCATTGTAGACGAGGATCATTTTAATAGAAGAATTCTTAAATTCAAAACAAACATCTCCCTCTGCCCCTGAAGCCACCGCGGTTGCAGCTAGGAGCCTAGGATCATAAAACTACAATACAAAAGGAAAATAAATAGTCCATCAACCGCATGTCAACCACCATAATCAGCATGAAATTGTGATTCTTGTGAGCCCTAGGCATGCTAAAACCACGACGCAAAGTGGGTAGGGCACTAGAAATATTACAAAATGTTAATCTAAAATCTCCCTCTCCCCCTGAAGCCACCACGGTTACCACCCCTCGGAGGACCCCTTCCCCTTGGAGGACCCCTTCCCCTTGAAAAACCTCTTCCCCTCGGAGTACCCCTTCCACGGCCTCCGCCTCGAGAAAATGCTGGCTTCTGTCCCCTGCAGCAAAACCACCCATACATGTGTCACTTGCAAGAATTCATAATGAGAATAATAGGACAATTACTTCAGATGAATAATGGAAGACATTTCTAACACTACTAAAAACAGATTACCACAAAAAAACCATGTTCATAGAAAGAACCAAAATTTAACTTTTAGAGGGAGAAAAATAACTAAATACATCAACAATGAAGCAAACTCACAGAGGGCATCTCAATATCACAAGGATTATTTAAAAAAAAAATTGAATATTTATTTATTGTACATCTGAGACGAAAGCTCCTCTTTGTGGACAATTGGACAACAACGAGATTAAATATATAATTCGTGATTTTTCTTCCATGAGAGCACCATACCCTGCCGAGCATGAACTCTTCAAGAAGCATCTACTAAAGTAAACTGAAGGAAACTGTCCAAATTTTTTAGGGACAAGGAATTGTCACTCGACACAGTACAAGGAAAGGACCTGATGAATATGAATATATCAGAGACAAGGATCACACATAAAATTAGCTCATGTGTTCACTGAATGGCATAGTTAAGTCCATCAACAAGACCATTTTGAAGAGTATTTTCCGACATTGTATGTCAAATGAAAATAACAGAGTTCAAAATAAGCCTTTTGAAAGATCATACAAAAATCTTGAAAGCCATGCGTATTTTGAAATAAAAAACATTCCATCAGCCAACTCCTGTTTTTATCAAACATAACATTTGAAGATAAGAAAAAGAATAAAGAGTTCATTGAGAAACTCCCCAAGGAACCAATGGGATATCTATTATCTATAATAAGTAGAATTTGGTCTAGCAATGTGACCAAAACTAAGGTAGACGAATTAGCATTTCGCTTGTCCTAGCTTGGAAACAAAGGTTGACCTCAAGTTGACAGTATAGAAGACTGAATTTGTCATCTTAGTAACAACACGAGTTTATGCTGCCACACTTAAAAATAACTTACGGCGCTGTCATCTTAACAATAAACCCCTTCCAAGAATAAAGGGGGCACGAAGTAACACGGAATGATATTACTACTTGCAGTTGTTCATTAGAAGGCACGTGTTGTCTAATTAAAGTACGGAACCTTGTCATTATCACAACTCAAACATGAAATTCAACGTAAATAATGTGAAAGTAAGAAATCATACTTTGGCTGTGGAAGAAATCTTTCAAGAGGAAGAAGCTTCATTGGGTCAATATAGAACTTATCTCCCTGGGAATACGAAGTCGCCACAATGCCTTCCATAACTTTAACTGAAAAGTACTGCAATTGCATCAAAAGAAACCATATTAAACATCCAAACCTAAAATACAAGCTTCAATGAGTTGGCATCATAAACAGCGCACACGAGGACTCACAGATTCATTGATCGGACCAAATATTTCATCAACCTTCCCTATCTGAGTCTTGTTCTGCAGATAGATTGGGGCATTAAAGTGGGGTATCTTCGAATTCGTGAGCTTCGTGACTGCCTCACCCTCACATGCATGAACAAATGTTGAAACCTCTGCACACCAAAAAAGGCAACATTACAAAAATCAATAAACCATCTAATGAGAAAAAGTAACAGAATTTGAAATCTACATGCCTTCCAAATAACAACCGAACAACGCAAATATAAATCAGAAAACAAAACATGTTGGTTGAGGAATTCAAAATAAATAAATAAAATCAAACAGAACTCATCGCATTATAATACTTAAAACAGCAAATTGGGTGTTTCGTTTTTTCTTCTGCGGAGAGTGAGACATATTTTACCAACCAAGATTTCTGTTTAACTTAGAAATTCCACAGAAGTTGAACATATAGTTTCATGACAAACTTACCAAAGAATTGAAACCTCCACGGAAACCCAAATCCCCCACTAAAATGGAAGAACTACCCAAAAAATTTAACAAAAATCAATAAGTTTCCATTCAACGGAAACACAGAAGCTGAAATAAATAAGTTTTGGAAGAAAAACGAACAGACCTATGACTTCGGAAGGAGGGCCCTCATCGCGGAAGAAACCGCGACCGCCACTGTTAAACCCACGACCACCACCACTGCGCCCGCGGGAGCCTCTGAACCCTCCGCCGCCTCTGGGAGGTCGCATGGTTTTTTGGGTGATTTAGGAAGGAGGAGGAGGAGCTTTCAGGGAGAGTGTTGGTTTTGGCGGAAGAGTGGCTTCGGCTTCCAATACAATGAACTAGTGAATGGCCTAGGGTTTTAGCATGTGGGTCTAGGGCTTTTCATGCTCCGTCTTCAAATGACTAAAATACCCCTGCTTTGACATGGATTCCGCAGGCTTGGGTCATGTCACTCAACGGGCCGGCCCAAATTTAGTTATTTCAAATTAGAAAAATTAGAATAAGTTCCTAACCCCCACCCCCCCCCCCCAACCATTTAGTGTCATTTCAAATTTGTCTCAACTTTTCTGATCATTCTAAACAAGTAACTAACCTATTAAAATGTCACATCCATTAAGTTCCAGTTAAAAATCAGTTAAATTAACTAGGAGTTACTTTGTCTCCAAAATCAATAGAAGTAACCACTTAGTACTACTGTCTAGTGGTATTCCTCTCCACTTGTAAGTGAAAGGTCTTAGGTTCAATTTTCACCAAAGGTGAATTTGAATCATATTATTGCTAGTCTATTATGAGGCTAAGCCCACCCCTTCTCTTAGTGTAGATAATATCGTTTGTTCAAAAAAAAAAAAAAAAATAGAAGTCATGGAAACATAGCCTCCACCAACTAACTAGCACCACCACCCCCACATGTCATCACCTCCAAACTCAACACAAAGCCACCAACTCCACCAAGGCCGTTTCTGAGTTTTCAAATGCCCAGGGTGAAATTTATGGTGCCTTTTGTAGATTGATTAATAAACATTCTTTTTACAAATTAATTAATTTTAGGGAATTGTTATTAGCACTCCAAAAATCTCATTTGGCACTCCAAACTTTCTATAATTAGAAGGAAAAATATACTTGTGAGGAGTGTAGAATGAGATTTTTGAAGTGCTAATTACAGTTCTCTAATTTTATTAACAATGATAAAATATCATGATTAGAAAATAATATATGTGGACTAAAAAAGGATTACAATCGAAGGGAGGAAACCTATGCAATCTAGAGAGCACGACTGAATACATAAACAATGCCAAGATTAAAAGAAAATAAAATAATTTGGAGAGCTACAGGTTGATAGATGAATACCTTCTAACGCTCAAAACCTAGATTTGTACAAAAGATATAAGCATTTGTGCATATGACCCTTTGTTTTAATGTTGATTTATGTGTTTATTTGTTCTTATGTTATGTGTCTTAAGTTGTGCAGGGGTTGTGCACATGAGTTGAGTCATGTCAGAGGTGCGAGTGGATTTGCAATGGTCATCTTACTTATTCCTATTTGTTGAGTAATCGAATCCAAAAGGAGCAACATACTCCATCTTCTCTCTTCATTGATCAACTAAATCAATTCTTCTATGATTTTCAATTTTTAATTTATAAAATCAAAGCCTAATTCAAATACAAAAATCAAGATGACAAGGTTTTGAGTTTGGATGTTAATTTGATGATTCATGAAAAAAAAAATTGGTGTTGAATCACTAATGAGATGAATAAAGAAAGTTTAAATTTAAATTCTTTTAGAAATGTGGCACTGTTCATTTACTATTTTTCTTAAAAAAGGGAAGACTGTTCATTTGTTGGTTTTTTTTTTTTAAATAATTAAAAATAAAGAAAAGAGAGACATTACAAGGGATCAAACACGCAATCGCATACACTTTTTTTTTGTCAAACAATAAGATTTTATTAGATTAGATGTTAAATTAGTCATTGATGGGGTTTGAACTAACACTGTCATGCAATGGCTCAACACTTTTCCACCACTGTAGTAAAGGGTCACTTACGCTAAAGAAACACTTTGATTATTATTATTCATCTTATTTTCTATTTATACGAATATAACATAAACTCATATAAAAGTACTCTAATATTTTTGGTGCCCCCAATTTTTTGGGGCCCCAGATAGTCACCTTGCTTACATTGAGCCAGAGCTGGCTATGAACTCCACCGTACAACTCAAGCCTCTAACATCAAGAAGAAGGTCATGGAGGTTGCTGAAATGGTATGGACTGTCATGATGCGGCCATCACCCTATTCACCACCCACAAAGAAGAACTGCAAGCTTTACAAGTTGAGAATCGGCGTATGAGGAAAAACACATGAGCAGAAACAAGCTCTGTGAAACCATATCTAAATTCTTAACCCTCTCCCTTGTTAGAAGATTGCCCTCCTAATGTAATTTCAAGTTGAGTCCATTTTTTATTCAATTCAATACCAATTTGATCATTGGGTTCTATATTATGGAATCTATGCTTGAAATTAGATATTGAGGCAACTATTAATGTTGACCATAATATATCAAGTTGGTGGGTTTTGACTAAAATCTATGTTCAAAAATTAATTGAGGCTTAATGGAAGTGACATTTTCAATAGGTTAGATACTTGTTTGGAATGTCTAAAAAGGTTGAAACCAATTCGAATGACACTAAAAGGTTAGAGATTTTAGGTACTTAATCCTTTTTTTATTTGAACCTTTTTCTTTTAAGTTGTTTTATTTTTTTCCAAAAGATAAACTTATTTTAAGTTAATTATCAAATATTTTTATTCGATTATTAATATTTTTTTTTTGTCAAAATAATATAATTTTAATACAAAAGGTATTTCAACATAATTGATGAAAAATTAATCTTCCTCCCCATACACTATAAGGTGTCAACGTAATTTTGGCCTCTAGGTCAAACGGTGCTAGAGCATATCATCGGTACCTCAAGGAATGCATCGTAGGAATTCGAACTAAGGTTGGGGATTCTAAATCTTTGTTTGTTTTGTTTTTTACTATACTAGCCCCTTGGGGTTGATAATTACAGTACTTACCAACAGTTGAAAGAATTGCACTAGTTTGCTTCTTAAAAAATAAATTAAAAACTTTACGTGAGCGTGTAACTGGTGAGGCTAACAAAAGTTGAATACATCAAGTGTTTGTCCTTGATGGATTTGGGCTTTGCAAACAAATGTGAATAGACACATGATTTAAGTGGTCCACCCCTCAAAATTAGGTTAGATCCACTGAGTTTCTTTTATAGATTGAGAATAAGGTTACAAATAGCGCTCGGCTAGAATAGTACAATTTTTATCTCAATTCGTCCGACCCATTCTAAAGAGTACTTATCCTTCTTATACAAGTTGTCCCATGAAACCTTTAGGTTCGAATCTTTTACTTCCTTTGCATTTAATGTGCCAAATCTACATATTAGACTTGCTAGTTGTCCCTTCATTCTTTGGCAGACATATGGCAATAAGGGGACATTGGAGCAGGTTCACTTGTGTCCTTTTTTGGGATAATGCGGTCGAGCGCTTTGCTTAGCCTAGAGTTAGTAGGAACTTGTACCCGAGTGTCCTACATGTCAGCCTTTATGTTCCTTCGTAAGCCTCTATTCTAGCCACCATGTGGATTAAGGTTGACGTCTAACTAGGCTTGCCCCTTTTATTTTTGGGACCTCGTACCGTAAAGCTGTCAACGGTCAACTTGCCTTTTGGTGCTCGAAAGGCGCTTTATGGAGAAGTGCTCAACTTGATTGTTGACAAGACAGTCGGAGACCAAATCTTGGGTCCCCTTGAAGTACTCAGCTTCACCTTTCTATACTCCTTGGGCCTTAACTTTAGTGTTCCTTTAGGCCCGTGTTTCTTTGGCCTTGTCAGGGTCCGAAAAGACCCTACATTAATAGAGGGGAAATAGGAGGGTTTGAACAGAAGACGCAATAGGTTGACAATGAATTCCCAAACCACCAAAGGCAATCCACCATTGGATTTTTCGTAAGGAAAACTAATGAAAAAAACTTTAAAACTTTGAGTTTTAATCAAAATGAAAAAAAAATGTGTTGCAAGTGAATAATATCAGGAATGACTTTTTAGAGTGAAAATGTCCTTTTTATTAAAAGTGAACAGTACCGAAAGTATTTCGTTAAAACTCTATTTTTCTTAAGACTAGATAGAGTATCATTATCAAGAGATTTTACCGTAATAGTAATTTGCTAATAGATTTCAATTTTTTAGTTAATTTGTATTAATCCTACTATAGCAAAATTAGTAATTTCGAAACCCCATCAACTTAAATCTCATCGCCAACTGCTAGTGATAGATTGCCTTGTTGGACACTGTTTTTTGCGTTCAAATCATTCCCCTCATGTGTAGTTTAAATTAGTAATATCGAATGTATAATAAAAATAAAAAATAAAAAACTAAAAACTCAACACCAATTAATCCCATAATACCCAAAACAAGGAACTCCAAAATCTCATCATCTTAAATCCCTTCACTCTCTAGTCCCATCATCAGCAAATTCCTTAATATAAATCCTCCATCCAAGAGAACCTTCAGGGTATGTTTGGGTGAGATACTTTTAAACTCCAGGGAATTTGTAGAAAGGGATGAAGAAATGGATCACGAAGAGTTAGATAGGAAGGACACCACGTGATAACTACCAAGCAGTCTTTTGCAAATCTCTTTCACGTGTTTTTATAATACGTATATGGTGTATTTTTAATCTCTCGAATACCTAGTTTTGCAAATCTCTTTGAATGAGGGAAATAGTTTTGCACTGGGCAATCAAAAGATCCCTTCGCGTCAACCCACATTTGAAGGGGGTCATTGCTGGATTAAAGAAGGTTGTATTGTCTGCCCACCCGTCCCTTCTCTGTCCCCTAACGATTTTGACTAATTTTTTCTCCTGCGCAAGTGGCTCTTGTAATCGATGAACCTCAGCATGCTCCTGGTTACGCCGACATTCATATATTAGATATTGCATCAATAGTTTGCACATATTGTTATACCGATACATCAGTATAACGTGTTAAACGATCTGGATATTCAATTTCAATAGTCATTCGTATCGTTCGAGTTGCTCCATGTATTGAATTCTGGTCATGCGCAGGAGAGAAACTCAGGATTCCAAACCTTTAGAAAGGTATGTAAATAACTTTGTAGCAATGCTAGCCCTTTTCAAGTCCGGGAATGATGCTCGGAATCTCATTGACCATAGCAAGCATTTCACTGGAATTCCTGTTTCGATTGCAAGGAACTCGAATAACAACATCAATATGAGAAAGGGTAACCATGATCTGTAAACCTATGGTTTCACATTTTATTATCGGCTTCCGCCAAAACAAAAGTTCACCTCTCAATGACGGCCTCAATTCTGCCCTGAAAATAATGATATAACAGGGAAGACCAAATAATCTACTTACAAGGAAACTGAAGAAAATCAGTAGAGGCCCAAAAATTTCCACCAGAAGGATCCTACTATTGCCCAGATGACAGCATTAACAAAAGCCATTATAAAGCCAACTTTGAACACATCAGGAAGATCAACATAACCAGCTGTTGGAAACAACAAACAAAATCTTATCAGTAGTCGCCCGAAACAGATTCTGATAAAGACAATCCATTTTTTTTTTTTCATGTTCTTGACTTCTGAGCGCTTTTGTCAAAACAATAAAGGGGGAGAGGGAGAGAGCAAGGGTCATACAAATAGAGGAAGGTAAATAAAAAAATTTGAGGCGATCAAAATGTAAGCAAAAGATTTCAATGTCACATCAACTTATACAACACGCCAATTTCATTTTGTAACCTCATGCTAACACCTTCAAACTTTCTATCCAAAAAATGAAACCGAGTCCTTTCACTACTGAATAATCCTAAAATTTGCCTTAAAAAATAAAAAATATCCCTGAATGAGCGACACACATGCCATGTTTTGAATGGAGAACTTGACAGGGTGAGGTTGTCATGGGTTTTGAAAAATTAACAGGACATCTTTCTTAAATTTCTTTTTCTGAGGTGACAATGAAATTTGTACATAAATTCAAGAGACATACAGACAATTTTCCCTAATTTTAAAGACCATAAAATAATAAAATGAAGCAACTGTGACTGAAAAAGGAAAATGAACACTACAGAAATGTAATTGTTTAGGGAAAAAAAATTCCAAACTTATGAATGGGATGTTGGAAGGGGGCATACCTCCGTAGTATACAGCAGCCTGACCACTGCTATAATGCGTTAAAGCCCCAAACAGATTTGTATTGTAAGCTAAAGCCAACGCTGCCAAAACACCAGGTACCCCAGCTGCCAAGTTCATGGCAAGAAATGCAGAGTATAAAGCACCCACATGACCGGTTTGACTTGCAAAGAGGTAATGGATGAAGAAGTAAGCTGCCTGAAGAACGCCAAATGCAGCTGGCCAGCTTAAAGAGTAGGACTGAAGCGTCTTGGCTACACTACTAGACATCCAATTTACAATACCAAGATTTGTCAACTGGCCAGCCATACCGACTAGAACAGAAAACCAAGCCAATGTATCCCATGCTGATTTTTCACTTAAGCAGTCATCCCAATCAAGGACTCCTAACAAAAGGAGTACAGATAAGCCAATCATTGCAGTTACAACGCTTGCTAAACCAAGAGCATCTCTGCAAGGGAACAAAGAAAGGAATTGGTGAATCAGAAGATTTAGAACCCTAGTAGAACAAAATGCATTCCCAGGGAAATCATGAACAGAAGTTACACACACAGACACACAATGTGTTTGCTACTGTCGACCATCACTATAAGAATATGTGGTTTGGTTGAAAATGTTGCACTAAAGGACTCTTTGGATAAAATTATATAACAAAAAACTAAATAAACATTACTAATGACATAATTCGACATTGTATGGACTACATGAGGGCACACGCAATACATCTATAAGTCCAAACAATCAAGGTCATATGGTCAAAACTACTAGCCATCATCCTTGAACTCACAAGTCAAATTCTTTGGTAATAGCAAGCTTTTGAAAGTAAGACATCGAATAGGTAACCATGGAAATACAGCTAGATAATGAAACTAAAGAAAGAACTGTGCATGCTTTCTTGTTATCTTCTGTTTTTCCCTTTGCTGTATGTGAAGAATAGTTACAGAATATTCTACTCAATATGATTAGCAAGACACCAAAAGACACAGCTGGCAAAGTGAAATGGACAGACAAAACCCCTAGAAAAAGAGTCTACGCATAAACACAGTATTTCAGATTTGAAACAAAATTTTGAACAAGAAATTCTTCAAGAAAGGGTAGCCAAGTGCACCAGGTTTGGAGAGGTCAAATGTACCCAACTGTACAGAGGCTATTTCCTATTTCATAATGTTATGCCAAAGTAGGTAACATTTGAAGAGTCACTTTCTTAAGGGAAAACAACTATATTGATAGATGAAACATATTGAAGTAAGCACCTCAATAGGTAGGTTTTATCCTATTAAGAAACGTTACCTCTCTGATAAAAAAACGTCACCTCACCTCTGGTGACTACAACCAGTAACATTAAGGATAATAACACTTAAAAAAGTTCATCCTGTTCAAACTGTAAATAAGTTTGTGGAGATACAGGTCGAGGAAATTCCCCCAAAAGAGTCATATTTACAAAATTATGTTTGACCAACTAAAGATGCCCTTGAGAAATAACCATTGCTGGGAATAGAATCGACAGTTACAGAAACAGGAGATTAAATGAAAGATAAAAATCTCCATTAAAAATCTCAATGATTGTAATTATACAGTCCATGGAAACATCCCAGTATCCCAAGCAAAGTCCTATTCTTGGTGAAAATTTATCAGATTGCAAAAAATAAGGATATGCAATTATGGTCCACTGGACATGTAAAATTAATAGTAAATAGTCCAAAGCCAGAAAAGCTACTTACCCGAAGACCCACAAAGAGACAGCAAGAAGCATTGTACAAACCATAATGAATTCATTCTTTGTGACGGGACCCATATTCTCCAATTTCTTTGTAGCCATAGCAGGGGCATCAGGTGTGTCTTTGGTTTCTGGAGGAAATAGCTTGTATAAGACTAGCGGAGTAGCTAGAAGGCAGACAAATGCTGGTAAACTAGCAGCCTTGAACCAAGAAACCCAAGGGCTTGAAACAATCACCCCAAGTTCCTCAGCTAATTTAAGGCACAGCAAATTTTGAGCTGCAGCCGTTAAGAAAAGAGCACTAGAATTACCAGCGGACTGTCACCCATCAGAAAACACAGATGCATGAGTCACATGATGACACAAATAACATATATTAATAGAATCAGCAAGGAAAGAATATTTAATACAGTAATACATTATGCTGAATTAATGCAATAGAGAAAATATAAAAAACTGTTGTTTAGTACATTGGATCTCTGAATTCACACATGAGAGCTCCTACCTTTCTTTCAACAAACAATTGTACGGATAATAAGCAAGATTTAAATCCAAGTTTAATTAGAGAAGCTAGTGTGCTATGTAGCCGAGGTTTACTTTATAGTAGGCCCCAACTCAATGATTGCCCAAGAATTAGACCAGAAGTGGTTTTATTTACTTTTTATTTTAAAAGGACATCCACCATTTACAAGTCCAAAGATTAATTGACAAGTGGGAGGAAACATTTCACTACTGGCTACTAAGAACCTATCAGAACTCTTTTTAGGGAGAGTAAAGAAAAAGAAGCCAGAAGGTTATGAAATAAAGGTTAAAGGATCTATATTTTTAAATACAATCCACTGATGTAGGGCATGACTAGAAAGAGTTTTATGCTCTTCTCTGCACTTTGGCTAATTACCAGGGAACTTAAGCTCTTTTTTTTCAAACAAACACACAGGAGGAGACAAAAGTTAAAAATATAAAGCATAGTACAGCAACGAAGAGAGGGAAAAGGAAATTCTCAAGTGTATAACTCAACAACGACTAGAGCAAAGGAGGTGGTATCTGTTTGAAACGAAAGGCGGAACAATGACGAAAATGCTATTCTCCGGTAATTCAACAATAATAAAGTGAAGCGCAGTTGTTTTTCGAAGAAAAAGGAAAAGTTCTCTTCCCATCAAATTCAGCATAAACTAAAGGCAAAGTGCAAAGAACAGTTAGACAATAACTCCCCACCCTCCTCCTCCCCCTGCAGAGCTCTAGTTTTCTTCGTCCTGCATCCGTGGGTATTGTACATCAAGAGCATTTCGTTTTCCATATTTTTACCACAACTTTTGGTTCAAATAAAGAGAAGTACTGAATTGAGATATACAAACAACAGCTTAAGTAAAAGTGCAAAAGAAATCTCCTCCTAACTGAGTTTATCAAAGTGAGATCAGTCACAATACTACAGGTATCCAAAGAGACAATCAATGAAAGATCTTATCGAGTCCGTACCCCATATATGAAATACTGAAGAAATCCATTGGTTAAAGATGTAGAATTCATATATCTACAAATTAGGGAACTGAACGAGCACCAACCTGAAACTGAGACATAATCAGATAAGAACCAAGCTTTCTTTTGGAGGGGTCACCGGGTTTACTCCCGCCGGAGAGGGACAACGACTTGATAATGGGCAAGAAAACACCGCCAGCCCTGGCCGTGGTACTCGGCATCGCCGGAGCAATTAGTGCCTCGCTTATTGTCAGCCCATAAGACAATCCCAGTGTGCTCTTCCCCAACCACTTGACAAAGTAGGTTGCAATCCGATCCCCCAAGCCCGTCTTCACGAACCCGCGAGCGAAAAAGAAGGAAATGACAATCAACCAGATCACCTCATTGGTAAAAGCACTGAAGGCCGTCGGGAAGGACAGAGTTCCGGTCACAACGGAGGTGGTGAGGCCGAGAAAGGCCCAAGCGCCGACGGGTAACGGGCTCAGAACCAGGCCAGCAATGGTGGATAGGAAAATGGCGAGCAATTGCCAGGCTTGTGGGGTGACTTGGACTGGTTTGGGGACGAAAAAGCGGACCACAATGCCTATGGCGATGGAGATGATGAAGGGGATTGGTTTGGCGCCTTGAAGCGGCTGCGCCGGCGGTGGTGCAAGAGTGGTTTGGGGCAGTGCGGATTGAGAGGCTTGGATTGGGAAATGGGTTTTTCTGGGTTTTGGGGAATGAGACAAGGAGATGAAAGGTCTTGAGGGCAAGAGGGATGGTGATCGGAGGGTGGGGAGTGAGGAAAATGAATGGATGGACGGTGGGGATTTGACGAGGGGTTTTGAGCGGCGGAATAAGGAAGCGCGGGAAGAGAGAGGGAAGGTGGAGGAGGAGAGAGAGTGGAGGGCGAAGCTCTCCATTGTCGCCAACTCTTTAGAGAGAGAGCAATGAATGAGAAATGGAATGAGAGAGATAGAGAGAGAGGATTTGGTGTATTTTGTGGGAGAAGGGCGGAGCTTCCAAGGGCGGGAGAGAAAGAGACGGAGACGCAGAGGGCACTGCGTATCTGAATCTGATCCTCATGTGAGTGAGGAGGGAATTCAACGGAATTTTAATTTTAATTTTAATTTTAATTTTCCTTTTCTTTCTATTTTTTATTATATGCCCTTTTCTTATATGTAAAAGTTTAAAGGAGTCTAACCCCAAATCGAGTGGGCATCAATTGATTTCAACGGTTTTGATGGCTTTGGTTTGGACCGTTTGGTTGGATTTTTTTGGGTTAAAATTCACAATTGATTAGTAATAATGTGGTTTAAATTCATATTTAGTAAAAATCAAATCTAAAATCTTTCACTTATAATCGAAAAGCAATATTACTAAACCGTAGTATTAAGTCCGTAGCATTAAATGACACTTTGTTGAATTTTTATCTAGTTGAATAATTTAAAAATCAAATTGAACTGATTTATTTTAATTTTGGTTTAATTTTGACTTTTGATAATTTTAAAATTAATTAAAATCAAATTGAACAATTATATATTTTTTAATTATTATTTTACTTACTAATATTAATATATTGTAAATTATTTGAAGATGCTACTACTATGCAAATATTATAAATGTCAACCAGTTATACGTTATTTATAATAATGATTAATAATTAGAAGATTTGTTGATATTATATCCCTATGTGGGGGGTGGGCAGTGTCCGGTTAGGCCTAGTTATCTCTCAAATCAAAACTAGAGTTGAAAAATATCAACGGTTTAGTTCGGTGTGTTCCACTCAAATTTCTTACTTCCCTGTTTTTATGCCCACCCCAAGTTAGTTTTACTCCGCCGCTCAACACTACGGTTTGGTGGTATTCCCCTTCATTTGGAAGTGAGAGGGGTTTTAGGTTCGAATCTTGTGGATGCCAAATTCGATACCAAATTAGGTTGCCCATTGTGTAGCTTAGCCGAACTCCCACTTTCCCTAGTGTAAAAATATCGATGTACTCAAAAAACAAAAAAGGTTAGTTTTACTCCATCCCAGTATCGATCTTGAGCATACCATATGTACACAAACCTGTGCCAGCAAGAAAAATAAATTCAACTAATGACTAACAATACTACTTCTTGCAACACTCAAATAAAATAAAATAAATTCTAATATTGGTAAACCAGTAAAAATACATCAAGCAGAGCTTATAAAAAAGAAAAAACCCATGTTTGGGGTATTATGAGATGGAGGTTACATGTTGGGATAATGGATGAGGAGAAGAACTGAAGAAAGAAAAATGAAGAAGAGAAGAACTGAAGAAAATGAAAAAGCGGTGCGGCGCAAAAGAAGAGAGGAAGAGATGACAAAAAACCAATACTGCCAGCTTTAAACATCAGGGTATAGCTATGGCTTTCATGCTTGGACTTAATTAAATTTCATTTGGGTCTATATATAAAATGGGTTAAGTGAATTGGGTACTTAAAAAAAATTAAACAATTTGGTTTGGTTCTGGCAGTTATGTAAAGATAAGAATCGAAACCGGTATGAATAGGTCGATCTAATATTTGAACCTAAATTAACTTATTTTGATAATAAAAAAATAAAATTAAATAAAATTAAAAATAAAAAAAACTCTCTCTGAAAGAGCACCAAACCCTAGCTTCAATGCCGCCGATGGCCCTTACTATGGCTTGGGCTGGCGGCACCCTCTCCTCTCCTCCTCCTAGTCTCTTCCCCACCCTCTTACACCTTCCACAACCGTCTTTCTTGTTGTCTTCTTATTTTGACACGCCCTGATCCCAATATTCCCCGAATACCGGCACGTGTTAGCCGACACCCAAGGGTGACGAAAGCCATTTATTGAGTGCAAATGCTGAAAACAAGGGGTAGAAAAGACTTAAATATAAAAGAATAATGAATGTGCATTTAAGGAACGTGTTCAGAGCATACAACTAACTAGAACACTAAAAGAAATAATATAAAATTGAATGAAACAAAGGATGGATCCTACACCGAGAGGACTCGAAGATGCCGATGCGGAAGTGCCTTAATGCCGGGATTTTATGTCTCGATTCTAAGTCCTAAAGGGGGCGCAAAACAAACATGAGTGGACCAAGTTGATATATGTATATATATATAATAAAACAATTATCAACATACTAACCCCCAGGTTTTATGAAAACACATATATCATGATAAAATAGGTTTTCTGAAACCTAGCATGCCGTGCAATGTCTCAAAACATATCTCGTATATATAATAATCACTAGTGAGTGTCTGATAACCCTCAAGGCCCCATGCCAGCTCCCCGCCTATGTGCCATTTGCCAGAGGAAAATCACCCCCAGGCCCCGTGCCAGCTCCCCGTCCTTGTGCTAATTGCCAGAGGAAAAACACTTCAGGCCATATGCCAACACCATAATCGTTGTCCGGGACGGACCAGAATCTATCCCTCATCCCATAGCAGAATTGGGACCACTAGGTAAGTACAAAACCATTGAACATACATATATTGAACAGCAACTTCATAGTATAAAGTCATCCATCATCTATACTATAAAGAAGTGTTCGAAACATGTTCTAAATATTATATCGTCATCCATCAGATATTCTATAAAGAACACGGGTTATAAGAAAAATAGTAATAATTCAAATTAGCCTCAATAAGCATGTTATCTCGTAAAACATTTCGTAAAACGTAATCATTAAATCATGTTTTTCATGTATGCATTTCTACTATTAAAACATGCATTTTTAGAAGGGGTTCACTCACTGTACACCGTTGGTGCAAAGCTGTACCAAACAAGAATAACGGAAATGACGCTATTAATTTCACCTATGCACATAAAAAGGGTACATTTAGTCAACTCTACTCAAACAACTTAATTTGGGAAAATGGATGTCAGAAATGAGTTCAGGACGTCGAAATTAGCCTAGGAGAGGTCCCAGATGAAAACCTGAAAAGTTAATCGTCAAAGTCAACGCTGACCAAGTCAACGGTCAGATCGGGTCAAAGTTAACAGGTCTAGGCCTAAAGGGTTTGGGTCTAATGGGTTTTAGGGTTTAAAAGGTATGGGGTTTAAGATTATAGGGTTTAACGGGTTAGCTTAGGATGCACTGACCTAAGGCCCTAAAGGAAAATGGCCCAAAGGCCTTTTGGGTTTTTTAAAAAGAAATGGGTTTAGGGCTTACTTAGGGCCCTCAACAACACATGCCCCCAAGGCCCTTAGAAATGAAATGGGAAAATGGGTTTGGATTCAGGGCCTTCACAGATGAAGCCCAAGACCTTTAAAACAAATAATAAAAATATACTAAAAACAAAATAAAATAAAAGGAGGTTGGGTTGAGCTTGGCAGGAATGGCTCAAAGGCCTTAGACTTAAAAGGATTTGGGTTTGGGGTAATTGGGTTAGGTCTCAGCCCAAATGCGTTTGGGTTTCAAGGCAAACGGGTTGGGTTGACCTGTTTTCAGGCCAAGCTCTTGGTCGGTTTCTAGGTTGATTTTCCAAGGCTCATAACTTCTTTGTTACTCAACTGAATCGAGTGATTCAAAAACGAAAGTCATATTTCTCGAAGAGACGAAGAGAATGGTACCTAGCATGATAGCTAACTCACCGTGGTTTGGCCGGAAAACACCTCGAAAGCCTCGGAAGTCACTTGAAATTGGGTAAGATTCAAATGGATATAACTTCTTCAATACTCAATGAAATTGGGTGAAACAAAAGCAAAGTTGTAGTACTCGGCGAGGTGAAGAGATTGATACCTTGCACGCCGGCCAACTCGCCATGGTTTGGCCAGAAATTGCCTCGAAAGGGGCGGTGCTTGTCGGAAAATTTGGAAAAGCTACTCTGAGATATTTTTTGCTATTCACACGTATACACCACTTAAAACAACCTTCGATCTAACCCTAAAACACAACCCAAGGTTTCTAGAAGCTTACCAACATCGGAAAAATACGAAACACGTCGGAGAAGACGATGAATAGTAATAGCTTCACTGTGGGGCTTCCAATGCACGACTTGGGGTTTTTTGGGGCTTTTCCATCCAGGTGTGCAGGTGGTGGTGCGTGTTTGTGATCACAAAGAGGAGGACGGTGGGTTTGTAGAGTGATGAGAGCTCGAGGAGAGGGAGTCTGAGAGTGAAGAGAGGGAGAAAGGTGAAGGAGTTGTGCGATAAAAGAGAGAGAGAGAGAGAGAGAGAGAGAGAGAGAGAGAGACTTTTTAGAAAAAAATAAGAGAAAAGGGGAAAGGGAACCAGGGGACAAAACAGGGGGTGGGCCCCTTGAGCTCACCAATTAAGACCCAAAAACCAATTGTAAAAGAAAAAGATCTAGCCCAAGGTGAAATTTCACGAAAATACTCCCTTTGTTCAGATAAAATTGAGACGGGTTGTTACATATTCTTTCTTCCTTTCCCCCACCCTTTTCTGCCTCCGACCGCTACAAATTGGCTTCGCCGATTTGTGGTCCTTGGCATGCCTTTTCGGTGTTCATCGCCGCTCAGATCTCTCCCTACTTCTCACCCAGAAGCTGCTCACTACCTCCCCCTTTTCCCCTCACCTTTGCACCCATTTTTTCGTCCTTCATCTTGCTCCCGGTCTTATTTTCCAACCCATAATCACGATTTATATCTTGGAGTTTTAGGCTCTATTTTGACACAAGACTCAACCTTCCCAGCCCACTGCTGAACCGATTTGCCGGAAAATTTGGGCGAAGTGTGGAACGATTCACTTCGGAATAAGGGTGTTTTACACACCCCCTTTGCCCTGCCCTTCCTCTTGTTACGTTTTGTGACCTTCCTTGCAGGTGTGGATGTGGAGGCTTTGTTTCTTTGTGGGCGGATTTTGTAGTATACTCTCAGATCTAGTTTATGGTTCGAGGTCTCTTTTTCTTTTAGGGCGATGATTTTTTTCACAGTGGAAGCAACGACGGTCTTTTGGATGCTGAAGATTAGGGTTTTTGTTGCTTTTTTGCTTTTGCTGCCTACGGGCCTAATGATGTATAGGCCTCCCTTTGTGTGTTTGGGTTGGTGCTTTGCTTTGCTTGGGTCTGTTTTATCTTTTATGTCCTGCTTTGTTTTATGTAAGGTTTTGTGTTTTGTTTGGACCTAAGCCCATCTTTCACTAGTTGTAATTTCTCTTACACTAATGGAATGTTTCTTCAACCCAAAAAAAAAAAAAAAGACTTATTTTGATCAACACGATTTTTTATGGTTTATTTTGTCGCGGTTCGATTCAGTTTTGCGATTCCACGGTTTTTATGCCCACCCCTATCCCTATGCGAGATTGTAAACTCTGAGCTCCAAACTAATTCCTTCGTCCCATTCATATCCCAACCAAAGCAAACCACTAGATGTCAACTAATTATACTAGTAAACAGGATACCTACAACGAGTTAAGGTCCTCATTTTGAAGATTATTGAAGATCAAATGTATATTAACTACAAAATAATATTAGTTTAGATTTAAAAATTTAAAATATTTGACAACTTATATTTTGCGCTTGTGAGGACCAAAATTGACGGTTGATTCAAGGGACAGATGCTACCTGATCAGACTACAGGTTTGGCACAGACAATTGCCCACATCGCAATCGAACTCCAAACAATGAAATTAGCCCACCCGCCTCCAACGCTTTAAATTAAGCTCTAAACTCCAAAGCATGAGACTAGCTTTCAAAACCGCTTTCACCTGCTGCCACCCGATCTTTCTTCCCGCGCTCCGTCGAACCTTCCACACCCGTAATCTTCCCACCAAAACTCTAACCTTAGGGTTCGGGTTTTACCCTTGCAGAGCAATCATGGCGGTGCCGTCTCGCCCGCCCGTACAAGTCAGGGACAACGTCCAACTCAATGAAACAGAGCAGAAAATATTTGACCGGCTACTCGGGACGCTCCGCCGTTTCGGCCTACAGAATCAGCTTCGCGTTGCCGGCGGATGGGTCCGCGATAAGGTGCGTGCGTGCCTATTCATGAAATCCCGTCAGTATATATATATATATATATATATATATATATATATATATATATATATATATATATATATATGTGGTGTGTGTGTGTGTGTGTATAAATAGATTTTGGGTTTGAAAATCGTGTTTGGGAATTGGGGTTTCTGCAGCTTCTGGGAAAGGAGTGCTATGACATTGATATTTCCTTGGACAACATGTTGGGGAGTGAATTTGTAGACAAGGTTCAAGACTATGTGTTGCACGTCGGGGAAGAGGCTCAGGGAATCGCTGTAATTCCATGGTATGTGGCTCTGGCTTTACCATTTCTTATCTCAGTAGACTCCATTTCAGTGTTTTTTTTTTCTTTTCAGAATTTGATGTAAAAATCGTTAATGTTTTGGTGTAGCAATCCTGATCAATCCAAACATTTGGAAACCGCGAGGATGCACATACGTGATAGGTGGATTGATTTTGTCAACTTAAGGTGTGAAGAGTATTGTGAGAATAGCCGCATTCCTACCGTGGTAAATACTTTTGCATTGATTAGGGTTTGTTGGTCTCTATGTATTCCTTTCATTTTAGGAATAACTTTATTATCTTGTTAGTTTTTCCCCTATTAGCTGGACAAACAGTTAGTGAAACTTGTTGAATCAACTTTGAAGTCTAGTCTAGCCTAGTCTTGTTAAATTTATAATTTATAATGTACTTTGTTTTTACAGCATAAGTATGGGACACCCGAAGAGGATGCATATAGGAGGGATTTAACTATTAACAGGTGAATTCTTCCCTAAGAATCTTCTGGAACTGAAATAGGATGGTTAAATGAGAACTATACTGCTCTGTTAGCATCTATTTGTAACTAATAACTCTACTTCTCTTGCTACAATTTTTTGTATATTTGATTGGTAGACTTCTGTTAATGTTTTAAAAAACTAGTATTGAGACTAGCCTAGGCGGTTTTTGGGTGGGGCTATCAAGAAACTCCTTTGCCCAGGGCGCCTGAGGCAATGGCCTGGCTGAGGCTATCCATGGAACGCATTGGCTTTGCCTTTTAAAACATTGGTTCTTAATGGGATTTCCTTTTGTTGGACAGCTTATTCTACAATTTAAATACAAGCTCAATTGAAGATTATACCAAAAGAGGTTTGTTTTCTGCATATGGCGCGTTCTCTACCGTTTTGTCCTATTACCTAGAATCGAAGTTATTTTGATGTTCATTTGTATTTTCCAGGAATTGAAGATCTTACATCTGGTGTAATAGTGACTCCTCTACCCTCAAAGGCCACATTTATGGATGATCTGCTTCGAGTTCTTAGAGCTATCTGTTTCGGTACTTGTTTCTTTATCTTTTTCTAAATTTTCTGCACATTCAGCTCTCCATGGCTGATTTTTCAGATTTATTTTGCGCTAACCTTGTTTGGTCTTTGGTATTTGTTGGTGTTCACTAGTCATAATAGAGCCTTATATGCTACTTTTTCTCGTCTTACCCAATTGGTTTGACTTTCTCTTCTGCCTACATTAACATTATGGTATAAAACTGAATTCTAACAGCTCCTCTACATTCATAGGGTGGTATTATTGCATTTTGCCTACTCTATTTGTAACATTAGAATGTTTTAGTAATAATAGTTGTTATATATCCTGAAACATTGAAGATCTTAAATTTTACTAGTCACTCATCGAAGGTTTCTGTTAACTGTTGCATACTAGGCAGAGGATATGTTGTCATATATACTTGCACATTGAGATTCTCATGCATCTTCTAGTAGTCTTAAGTATGTATTTACCCTATTCTGCCTTCTTGAAGTTCATATTGGCGTGGCTTCTTAGCTGATCATGTTTGCTAGCAACAACATCCTGCGTGAACTTTTCCGAGTAAACCAAGATTCTCTTTCACAGAACTGATCACTTGGAAACATCTCCAAAAAATTGAAATATCTGGTCTTGAGCTCAGGTGCAAGGTTTGGATTCATATTAGATGAAGAACTAAAGGAAGCAGCTGCCTGCGATGAAGTGAAAGCTGCTCTTTCAGTTAAAATTACCAGGGAGCGCATTGGCACTGAAGTAAATTCCTGTTTTTGCATGCCTCAAGTGGTGATTGTTTGATTATAATTTGATTTATGATAACACTGTTCTAGCTCTTTTACTGGGAAAACTTATCCTGGGTCCCAAAGGTACAGGGGAATCATCTCCTCATTTTTCCCTTGTTTCTCCTTTTTCAGATTGACCTAATGATCTCTGGGAATCAACCTGTCCAAGCTTTGGCCTATATTAGTGATTTGAAGTTATTTTGGGTCGTCTTCAGTCTTCATACGAAGCATGAGCCTGAAGTATCGGAAGGATGGGACAGGTATGGTTGCTCAAGGAAAAAGATAGTTTCCAAGCATGGTTATTTCTATAACATCATGCATGGGTGGGTAGGTTGAATGACAAATAAATCTTTCAATGGTAATTCATTATTTATTTCACCCAATGTAGGCTTTGTGTTTCTTACTTGGTGGCAACATGGAACCTCATTCAATTAATTGGCCTGTCTAACTTTACTGTGAGTGATAAGGACCTAAAATTCAACAATATTCTTGCTTTTCTCCTATATACCGTGCAGTGGTCAGTTTGTTAATTTAAATTCCGCTTGTGTATTTTATTTTCTTGCGTATTGTTTTTAATACCGTCTCGTCTGACTTGTGAATTTAGGATAAACAAAGAAGGCTTTCTTTGTATGCTGCTATGTTCCTTCCACTTAGGAAGACCATGTATAAAGATAACAGAGGAAAAAAGGTATGGTTCCCTTGGTTTGGTATATCATGTGTTTGATGTTTCCTGAGATAATTATCCATGTTTTGTGTATGAGATTGTAAGCATACTAGCATTGAGCCTTTTGCATTGCAGTTGTGCAACTTTGTGCAAAGACGGCATGGTAGTTTGTAGCAAAATGTGCAATCAGGAATGTTATTGGAGATACTACCAATAGAGGCAACTAGGGCTGAGCGTTTTAGACCCAAAAACTGATCAAACTGGACGGGATAGCTTGGTGTGATTTTTATTTTTGCATTTTGGTGAAAAACTGGACCAAACTGGTGAACGGAATCGCTTCATTTTAAATTTGACTTCTCCATTTGGCGCATTTATGTTGGCCTGTATATATGTATAATCTTACTGATGTCAAGTTTTAGGGTTAATGATTAGCTGTTTGTCACAAAAAGTTAAGGGTTAATTATAATTAGTGTTTGTAGTAGAAAAATTTAAGTTTGAATCATCACGGGATAAATATGTCTGAAAGTTAGCATGACTATTCTTGGAACATGTATATACTTGTAATACCGCATCAAGTCCACATCACTTGTTCGTCAACCTTGAATTCTGATTCTAAATATCTGTTCTCAAATTTCAGATTCCATGGTGAACTACATTTTCCGGGACTCCCTTAAGCGAAAAGCCAGTGATGCTGAAACAGTGTGTTTGAGTCCACTTCTCTCCCCCTTTTTACACATTATGTGGAAACACTAAGCTGGTAATTATATCAAGACTTCTTGATCTGCACGTTTATATAAATATGTTTGCCGATTTTCATTGTTACAGGTTGTTAATGTACACTTTGCCATGGAAAAGTTTTTGTTTTTGATTCCTTATTTTGCATCAAATGAGGATGCACGCGTTTCTGATGTTAATTGGGCAAGAGAATCTGTTGATGCACCTCTTACTTCAAAACCCTGGGTATTAACAGGTATGAGGTTTCTGTGTCCTTGCTGTGTTTTGTTAGAAAAATAAACTGCACAGTTAAGGTCGTTTTTGAATCCTTATTATGCATTGTGATATATCTTTCATCAATCTGCATTGAGTTTTGGGGTCTGTGAATATAATCTCTCTAGGTTTATTGACAGTCATAACTGTCCTTTGTTTTGTACTATTTGTGGGTTTTCAACTCACAGGGGATCGAACCCCTGAACCTGTTACCCTCCCTCACCACTTGGGCTAACCCCAAGAGATTCAAAATTTGTTTGTTTTGTTGGTCCTTTCAGAATTTGTTTTGTAACTACAGATGTTGTTCTCCCTTGTGATTTTTGACAACAATTTCTCTGAAATGCTGGTAGATGCTTAATAGAGGGATTGCATATGTGGCTGACACTGCAATTTCCATAATTTGATTAATTCTTTGGGAAATCCTACAGGAGATAGATTTGTGTGTCTTGAACCTTATGAATATAAAAGTCAATTTGAAGCTTTTTAATTATAGCTCGACCATCTGTGTATTTCTTTTATGTAGCACTTCTTGCTTTGATTATGGACTAACATGTACTCTGCTTGATTCTTTTGTCATTTAATGTTCTTATTGTTCATTTTGCATTGTCAACCATCCAGGATTTCTTCTACGAGAAATTAAAGATTTTTGGAGAGTTGCCTTGCTAATGTCTACATTGTTATATCCGCCCAACATCGATTGTACTGAAGATCTTCTAAGTAAGAACTTTGAACTGGAAAGACGAAGAAGCTTATTTAAAGCAGCTGAAGATGCCATATTTAAACTAGGTATCGAAAGGCTCTTTTAACCAAACATTTATTTTTGATATGATTATGTTTATTAGTTTTGAAATTATTTTGGACGCTGCCAACTTTCCAATCTACTTTAATTTACTCAGGTTACCTGATTTTATTGGTCCAGACTTCTGCTGTCGCTAAGGGTTTCAATTTGAAAACAACGCTTCGTGAGTAGAGATCTGTCGGTGTCATTAACTGTTAAACATTATCTCCATTCTTTCTATGCCAGAATGTGCTGTCATTGGGAGAGAGTAAATTCAACAGGATGAACTTTAATAATCTCTATTCTTCTCTTATATAGTATAATTCCACTCATTCTATATTTCCCGTAAAAATGTCCCAAAATCACTGGGGAAACTTAAATGGCAATCTCAGGTGGCCTCAAATGTGGTATATAAATGTGCTTGACTATGTGTGTGTGTGTTTATGATATTTTGTAGGATATAGTGTAGATCTTTTCCTGGGATTCAATGCCTAACCAGTTTGTTTAGTCCCAAGTAGATTGCCTTTAAGATTTGCTTAATCCTTGGGAAACAGCTCAGATGCCATTTCTGATGTTTATTCTGGTGCAATAGGTCTTGCTAAAGTCTGGGATGTAAAACCACTACTGAATGGGAAGGAGATTATGAATGTTTTGCAGCTCAAAACTGGAGGACCACTTGTGCGAGAATGGGTAAGCAATATAATTCTGATTCCAGCACCGAAAAAAGTTGATATGGAACTTCAAATGCTAATGTATCCCTTACTTGGCAGCAACAAAAGATACTTGCATGGCAGCATGCTCGCCCTTCAGGGACTGCAGAAGAATGCCTCAACTGGATGTGGAAAACACATTGTTTAAAGATGATAGATTGATTGCTGAGATCAATATCTGTAAATTCGGATCCCTGCAGTGAGTTATATCTGGTTCACCATTTACAGAAGTGACCATGCTCAAGAGTTTGCAAAAGCACCAGGACATTCACCAATGTTCACTGTAATGCTACCCGTCATATTTTCTCCTTTCCGGTAGGAATATACACATTAGCTGTTAGGAACTTTGACCATCTCTTCCCCACCCTTCATGTTTACGTCGAATATGTCATCTGCTAATCTAGGTGATCATTTGATGAAAAATACACTAGTGAAATTTGTCTCTCCAAACCATGCATCAAATTTTATTATCCACTGTTGACTTTGTTAATTATATTTTGAGTATTTCTTTACCAAGTGGAATTGCAAGGGGCCTATATAAATCTAAAACGATGTATATTGACATCTAGAAAGCATGATATTCATTTAGCGACACCTGCCATTCCTGCTGCTTGGATCGGGTCTAAACCCCTCCTAGTCCCCCTCCCAGACTAAGGTGGTCTACCCAGTCATGCGCAGTCAGAATAGCAGATGATTTTAGACAAGTTGAACAATCGAGTTTGATCATACCTTTGTCAATGTCTTTGATCATGAAATTGTACAGGAAGAAATAGCATGGATATGGAGCTTTTCTTTTGGATTACTTTCTTTCTTTGGAATTATTCATTGCTTTTTTTTTTTGCAGTCTTATCGACAACAGGCTCTAGCTGCCGCTCTACTGCTACAAGAGTCATGTTCGTATCTCCCAGGTATTGCTTCAATTCTTCCATCTCTCTATATGTTTTTGCAGATGCACCGTCAGAAATATGAAATGTCATGTATACGCTTTCATCTATATCGTGAGCTGCCACTTTGGAAGCGTGTTCTACGGTCAAAACAGTTTCTTTTAGTTTGCTATCATGAGGGAGTTCATATGCCACTTCTTCCGAAAATTGCCACGCTTTCTACAACCTCTGGAAGGTTTTCAACCTCTTCCATAACCATTTCTGCCTCTTTTGTTATGACATGAACACCCAATTAATAGTTTGTATCATATTTCATGACTTGAAATAAATTAGATTGCCAATGATCAAATGGTCTAGTAGCACTCCGCCTCTATTTTTGTTGTAAGAGAGCTTGGGTTTCAAATCCTATGTATAAACGTTATATAGAATTTGGATAATAAAGAAACGAATTGGACTTTTGCATTATCTTTGATCCTTTGCTGTTTAACCCAAATATAGTTGGAAATTGGTAACAAGGATGACAATATATGGTCCCTATAAACCATTTTATCCTGCACATTTTATATGCCAAGGTACTTTACCATAGATTATAATATCAAGAAAACAGTTTAATATCCTTCCTAAAACTTAAAGTTCTATCTAGAAGTGCTTTTAAAATGTTCAAAGCGTTTTTATTTCTTTATATTTTTTTAACAAACGATATTATTTACACTAGGAGGAGAAGATGAACTTAGCCTTACAATGAGTTAGTAATAATGTAGTTCAAAATGACAAATGATTTTTATTCATATTTCGTGAAAAAAGTTGAAACTGTTTTTGGATTAAAATAATACTTGAAGTGCTTAACGTGTCAACACATTTATTGCAAATGCTTGTGAGGAGTATCAATATCAGGTGAAACCTAAAAAAGTTGTTTTCTTCTTGTCAAAAGTAAGAGAAACCAGAGTTCTTCTTCTTCGTCTTCTTCAAAAAAAAAAAAAAACTAAGAGAAACCAGAAAGACAGGTTAGTCCATTAGGGCGGCTATGGTACTTGATGATTTTAGTCGGAATGAATTGACACTTCTTGGGGTTAGGACTTTGTCAAAAGTAAGAGAAACCAGAAAGACAGGTTAGTCCATTAAGGCGGGCACTTGATGATTTTTGTCGGAATGAAGTGACACTTCTAGCGGTTAGGACTTTGTCAAAAGTAAGAGAAACCAGAAACACAGGTTAGTCCATTAGGGCAGCTATGGTACTTGATCTTTGTCGGTATGAAGTGAGACTTCTAGCTGTTATGACTTGTACTATTCTGGTGAAATATTCTCCACTCCCTCCTAAACAACAACGTAAGAAAAGATAATCTTGTTGTGAAATTGATGGATTGATAGATGAATGAATGCCCACTTAAAAAGAACAAGACTTAAGGAATAATATTTGATACTTTCAAAAGTATCATCATTGTTTTGTGGATGGTTGTAATTACATGAGTCTCTCTATAAATAGAGTACCCCGTCTGTTATCAAATGCACTGCAAAAGAAAGCAAGAGAAATAATATTAGTATCATTTCCTCTCTTTATCTATCATCATTTTTGTGTTATAGCTACTAAAGTTATAGTGTGATATTTTGCATCTCCTTCGCTTATGTCCTTAGAAATGTTATCTCTCTAACTTTTGCCTATTTATAACAAATCTTTCTTTGTTAATGAATGGTGGTGGGCGGTCATAAACCCAAGCCGTCAGGAGAGAAAAGCAAATGAAGGAGAATAATTTTCTACCCTCCTATTCCCATCCCCTCCTTTCACACATTATTTTTTGTCTTATTATCCTTATAAAAAAATTAATATAAGATGTTGACGTGGCTTAACCGTGACTGTTCAAATAGGAGGAGATGGAAGGGTAGAGATATTAGGAGGGTAGAGAATCCTCTTCCGCAAAGGAAATCAATCTCTACCACCCGTCTTTTCCTTCTCACCGCCTGCCCTTAAGTTTGTATTTTTTTTTTTTTTTTGTGTGCCTAATTGTCGTCATGAGATGTTGTAGCCCTTATATAGTCGAAGCTTTTTGGCGCATATACTGAAAAAAAAGAAGTTGGGATTGTAAACTTTGAAGGGTAAACCTGAAGTTAAATTTGAAGTCCATATGCAATATTAGGGGTTTATGGGTAAGAAAATGATAATACTATTCTTAAAGTGTCTTGTGCAAGTCACGTAACTTAAACTAATGGAAATTAGATGTAATAGCTTTTGTTGATACAAGATCTAACTGTAAATCTCACACACACACACACACACACACACACACACACACAAGAACACATGAATATATCGTTGTTCACCTGAATTGAGGCTAGGTTCACGTTGGCGTAGTCTCCAGTTTCCATTATATAATTGTAGGTTACAATATAGAAGAATTCTTTTGCCGTTGAGAGAGTAAACTGGATAGAGTTTGGAATGAGCGGCTTTCCTCTTAAAGGGATTTCTTTTATAGTACTAGGGTTACCCTCGTGGCACCATGATTAGCTACTACAATAACGTCCTACTAATCACATACATAACATGCGTGGAAATTGCTAATATTTTATTATAATAATGCTTACAAAAGTAACATTTAATTTTTTTGTTTCAGTTTACATTTTTCATTAAAAAACTAAAACTAGTTAACGAATAAGTTTTTAGTTTTCAACAAATATTACACTTCTATGAGTTGGCCTCTGGTCAATGCATCAATTTTTAGAAATGTGCGGTATCGTTTTCGCCTAATATTAGACGCGATAGTCAAGATCAACTGGCTGCTTTCTTAAGTGTAACTCGTGTGGATGTGCAAGACCGTTATCTTGGCTTGCCTATTATGCTAGGGCGCAATCGTTCTGAATGGTTTTCTTATATCAAGGATTGTCTTTGGAAAAAGCTGAAAGGTTGGAAAGCAAAGCTCCTTAGCGCTGCGGGAAAGGAGATCCTTATAAAGGTAGTTAGGCAGTCTCTACCCATTCATTCGATGAACTGTTTCCTCCTTCTGAAGACCTTTTGTGAGGATCTGCAGAGTATCTTTTGCCGTTTCTGGTGGGGTGATTGTGAAGGCCCCCGACGCATCCATTGGATATCATGGGAAAATACGTGTCGTTCAAAGGATGAAGGTGGTCTTGGTTTCTGCTCTCTTTATGATTTCAATCTTGCGCTTCTTGCCAAATAAGGGTGGCGGCTGGCTTAGAATCCAGACTCTTTGGTGTCCCGATTATTAAAGGCTAATAATCAAGAAAATAATGGAGGCGACACGTGTACTTTTGGGTGAAAAATGACAATATTACCCTCAAGGCACACCAGAGCTTCTACGCGCAAGCAATGGACAATCATGGTACAATCAAGATCAAAAGTGATCAAAATAGGTATTTATTCAAAACCTATTTCATCCATCCTTATCAAATCCTCCCCACAAGGTAATCGTCAATTATTCATTCAAAATACGATTAATTACCTAAATTAATTTCCTAATTGATTGCAAATACCACATGTGGCCAGTTCCCGTCTCTCCAAAGGGGGCCGGCCACACCTCTATAAATACCACCTTATTTTCTCCAAAAACCTAAGTTGAATCCTCTTGCAAAATTCTCCAATTTCTCTAAACACTTTTCCATCAAATTCTTTGGCATCGGAGGTTCTTTGGCCAAAGACCCCCCCATTCATTGTGGGCGTGTGAGGCTCTTGGCCTTGACCTAAGTTGTTAATTGCTTTGCAGGTGCATTTTCGTCCAAAAAGAAGAAGGCGGAAATTTGCATCCATAAATTGGTGCTTTCATTGAGAGTTTGATTCACATGCTCGAAGAAGACTCTCGCATTCAAGGTTTCTCATTTTTTGTTCATCCGTAGATTTTTCGTACGTTCTTATTCTTAGAATTTTTTCATATAAAAAATTCTTTGAATAAACGTAAAAGAAAAGTACAATGACAAGAAATTTGGAAACCACAACGAACGAAACTTCCTACGTTTAAAGATCCGAATCAAGTGATAGAGTTTGCGATGTAGCCCCACCACGACGATCCACAAGGCTCAACGTGGCGGCAAGAGGAGCAACTTTGCCACCATAAAGCACCAATACCATGGTAGCCACGGGGACCACCATGGCAATAGGGAGTAAGCCAACTCCATGGTAGCAAGCCCACAGTGAGCAGCGAACAATGAGGTAGCCACGAGCTCAAGCCCACGCCACTACCTCAGCAACGCAAGCCAAAGTAGGTGCGGCAGGAGAAGCAGCCCAACGCTCGTGGGCCCAAGGTAGGCCTGGCAAACGGGTTGTGTCTGTCGTGCTCGTGTCGTTTTCGTGTAACACCTATTATCTTACTGGGTCGTGTCGTGTCATACCCATTATCTTAACGGGTCCTTAACAGGTCGGGTCACTTTACCCAACGGGTAAAGTGACCCGACCCGTTATGACTCGCTATGACCCGTTAAGAAAAATGTATTTTTTTTCTTCTTAAATTTGCACATACCACACATTGCCACATAAATATTACTTCAAAATATTAAAACACATTTGTCGTTTAAGTACTACATCTACACTTGAAAATAAGAGTAATAAACAAACATTCATACACTACTAATCTATTACAAATATTAAATGTGCAAGGATATGCAAAATGAAAGAGTTTTTGTTTTCAAGGTTGTGAAACCTTTCTCAAAAGTTTAAACCTTGCCAATGGAACTCAAAGCTTGCATGTTATTCCTTTTACAAAATCCTCAATTTTCATCGATCATCATGACATAAGATTTTGTGGTATCAACTAGTGTAAATATTTTAAATTGAAGATCGAATTCATTCATTGTATTCATATAGAGTCAAGGAGTGTAGCTGTAAAAAATCATCAAAATCAGAGTTAAAATAATCGTTAAATCGTGATTTTTCGTTGATAACAGTTGAAAAGTTTTGTCCCGTTGCTTGATCTTTGAATGTTTGTTTTTTGGAATTTTTGGCATATGCGATCTCGACGTATATACAAACATGTTTGACGGTTGGATCATTGAAACTAGTTTTGTAGAATGCGTATTCTATCAAAACAATAAATTCACTAACACTTAAGAGTTTGTTTATACTTTCATTAAGTACAACATAAGATTTTGTGGTATCCACTAGTGTAAATATTTTAAATTGAAGATCAAGTTCATTCATTGTATTCGTATAGGGTCAAGGAGTGTAGCTGTAAAAAATCATCAAAATCGGAGTTAAAATAACCGTTAAATCGTGATTTTTCATTGATAACCGTCGAAAAGTTTTGTCCTGTTACTTGATCTTTGAATGTTTGTTTTTTGTGATTTTTAGCGTATGCGATCTCGAAGCATATACAAACAAGTTTGATGATTCGATCGTTGAAATTAGTTTCGTAGAATGCGTATCCCATCAAAACGATAAATTCACTAACACTTGAGAATTTATTCATACTTTTATTAAGTATAACATAAGATTTTGTGATATCCACTAGTGTAAATATTTTAAATTGAA